GGTGTCAGCTATGAGTCTCAAATCTTCCTGTGCACATATTACTCAGGCAAAATAAGACAGAATAATAACTAATAAAAGGCTATGCTAAATGCAGCAACAGAGATCTGTACAAGGCCCTTTGTTGTCACGAAGAAGGATGGGCTTACCCACACCTGAGAAATTCAGGAAAGTTTTACATAGGAGGTAGCCAGTAGAAAAGGGAGGACATTTCTTCAGTGGAAATAGCATTTTCATCGAGAAAGGGTGTGGGTCTGCATAGTCACTACTAGTGGCTCAGCAAGATCGAAGCACAGTTTACATATGTCTTAATCGTAGCAGTTACAAAGTGCTGTCTTTCACTTTTTCTGCACGACCCTCCTTCTTTAGAGTGAAGCCTTGAGGTCAAGGACTGTGTCATATTGTTTGTAACCTCAGCAACAAGCACAGGACCTGGTCCACAGTTGGGAATCAATGTTTTTGTTGAACAATTAAATAAAGGGGTAAATGAATGAATACACAGTCTAAGACTCGGAGATACCAAGTATTGATATTTTCATAATAATTTTGAAAATACAGTTTTTAAAAAATTTCCCAGTTATTTCAGTTAGCTTTTCCTAGGTCATTAAAGAAGAGAGAAAAATGTCAATATGTTGGATTTTCTTTGCTTTTACAGGCTTTTCTGGAATGTAATTAACAGTCATTGTGTCTACTCTATTTCTCTGGCCTTATTTTTTCCTAAAACTAGTGTAACATGGCTTCTACCCCACAACGCCACTGAAACTTCTCTGGCAAAGATCACAAATGACCACAACTTTGGTACACCGAATGGACCCATTTCAGTCCTTATCTTACTGAAGGAATACCAATATTCCTAGATTGCTTGTGGTTCTCCACATCCACTCTGCGTTTTCTTACTTCTGCCTTCACTCATGTTGTCTCCACCATCTGGAATGGCACACACCGCACACACACATGCACGCATGCACAAACACACCCACCCTTCCTGGTCTCTTATCTAGCTAACTCTTGTTCATTCACCCTTAAGTTTGTGCATCTTTGTCATTTCCTCCGGTAGGCCAAGTATTCCTTCCCCATGCTGCCTGTGCATAGCACACATGGTATTTATCACATAGACTTGGAATTATATGTTTGCATTCCTCTCCCTGACTATACAGAGAACTTTTGGAGGGAAGAAATTGATTTTTGTACATTTTTATGTCCCTTATATCTGTCATAGTCTTTGTTAGGTAGTCAACATATTAGTGTTCTCATGGCTAATAAGAATAATCAAAATTTAGGACATCAAACTGTAGGTCCTTGTGACAAAGTAATTTTTGTTTAAATAGACTAGATGGTAGTAACAGAGCTCTCTATTTCTTCCGATCAGCTGAGGCACAATGGCCAAGAAGCGGATTGCCGTGATTGGAGCTGGAATCAGTGGACTGGGTGCCATCAAGTGCTGCTTAGATGAAGATTTGGAGCCCACCTGCTTTGAAAGAAGTGATGATATTGGAGGTCTCTGGAAATTTCAAGTAAGTTTGGATTTTATTTGGTTTTAGGCATACAACTTTTTAAAATAGCTGTGACAATTTGGGTGAAGGTTTCCTTAAATGAACATACATTTTAAGAATTACTAAATGTTCCTAATTTTTTTGCTTGCATCACTGATTGAGGAGATATGTAAGTATATGTCAATTTCAGACTTAGGCATGAAATTTATGGGATTCTATTCAGGGTAACTGACATTCCATGTGATCATCAGAAACATTAGAAAGGGATGAGGGCTGAGGATTCCTTGAAATGATCGGATGATATTGTGCATAAGATTAGGGACATCACAGATTTTGATGGTAGGTTAAGATGGTCTAATGCTGGGCAATTTCATATTCTCTTCTGTGGTTATGCCTGATGAAGGGCAGGCCCTGCATACTACCCTCTCTTCTGTAGCAAAAGGCAATGAATTTTTTTCTCTTAGCTGTTAGAAGCAAGAGATTTATTGCCTTGAGGGGTTGAAGCTTGGTGCCAAATGTTGAATAAGCTTAAGTTCCCAAGTGGCCCCATCTTCTTTTGGTGCTTCATTCTGCCATCATTAGAAGTGCCCTTGAAGTTCAGCATTTCTGATCAATATTTTTCCAGTTCTGATAATCCCAGAGAGCTACCCTGATCACCAGTCATGGTTGGCATCCTATGGGTATGCATTGATGAGCTGATTTCCTTCTCTTGCCCTGGACTTTTGTCCCCACCCAGGCCATATGTGAACAGCTAGAATATGAGATCTCTTCATCCCTATGGAGAGTGGTCTTGTTGGCAAAGTAATCAACATCACTGCCCCACAAGGACCTCCTCATGGTGTTTCTGGAGCAAACCAGTGGCCAAGGAGCATTCCTAGTTGCCCTCAGATAGACCCTCCAAAGTGGTGTTGGGGTCATTCAGATATCTCTCTGCAACCTACAGATTTTTCTGTCTATTGCTTTAATTGACATTCAGTTCTAAATATTCTTTAGTACCCATTTTGTCTTATCTTTAATTCAGGAGTTCATTTATTCATTTAATTAGCAATAATTCATTGAGTACTTACTATGTGCCAGGCACTTTTATAGGTCCTGGGGAATATATTAGTAAATATGTATACAAAAATCCTAGTCCTTTAAGAAGCTTACCTTCTAATGGGGAAGAGAGGTAAAATAAATAAATAATATGGGTGATGGTGGAAGTATAGTAGAGAAAAATAAAGCTGAAATGAGGGGAGTTTGGAAAATATCATTTGAATAAGGAGTCATGGAGATCCTCAATAAAAAGTGATTTTGATAAAGAATTCAAAAGTAAGAAAGAAAGAAAGCAAAGAGGATATCTGGGGAAAGGAGTTCAGAGAATTTTCAAGTGCAAAGTCATGAGCTGGATGCTTACCTGATAAAGAATTCAAAAGTAAGAAAGAAAGAAAGCAAAGAGGCTATCTGGGGAAAGGAGTTCAGAGAATTTTCAAGTGCAAAGTCATGAGCTGGATGCTTACCTGGCAGGTTAAGGAAGAGCCAGGAGGCCAGAGTGTCTGGATTGTAGTGACCATTTCTCCTTACATTTCTATCACATGTATAAAAGATTTGTTGGTGAGTGTTGGAAGGTTTATGGCTGTTATATCATCTCAGTGTATAGTTCCTTTTATTAACATAAAACATAGTTTTGTTCCTTTTACCTTGAATTATATTGTGTTGGTATTATATTGCTAAACGAGCTATCTTTTTGTCAGAACTTGATAAGCATATCTTTTTCCACTTGACTTTTTCATTTTACTGAATCATTTTGTTCTAGGTTTGTCTCCATAAAACTTGGTTTTACTTTATTGTCTAATGTGAGACTTTCTGAATTTTTTATTTAAAAATTATATTGAGGTATAATATATGCATTAAAGTACATAAAGTATGCTAATCTTAAATGTACAGCTTGATAATTGTTATAGATTTATGCTTCTTGCAACCATGGCTGAGATCAAGATATAGAATATTTCCAGAGCCTTAGGAGGTTTCTGTGTGTTTCTTCCCAGTCAATACCCAGCCATCCCCAGAGATAACCTCTATTTTGATTTCTATCATTATTAATTACTTTTGCTGGTCCTTGAAATTATACATGTATATGCGTTTTTGTATTGGTTCTTTCACTTATCTTTTATGTAGTTGAGATTCATTCAAGTTATGTACGTAGCAGTAGTTTGTTTTTCCATTTTCTATTGATGTGTAGTATTCCAGTATATGAATACACTGCAATTTATTCATCCATTCTTTTGTTGATGAATTTTGTTTTCACTATGTGGCTTTGTGTCTGGTTTCTTTCACCCATCATTTATGAATAGCAATAATTCACATAAAATTTTTAACTTCTGTATAGTATTTCATTATGTAAATATAACACAATTTATTCATCCATTCTTTTGTTGATGGACATTTGGTTTGTATTCCCTATTTAGCAATCATAAATTACCAAATTTATAAACAAAAATTTATAAATATGTTTAGCTGTACAAGATGCTGCTAAGCAGTGTTCTAACATGAGTGTACCAACTTATATTTCCACCAATAGTGTATGAGAGTTTCTCCTGCTCCACATCCTTCCAAACAATTAGCAGTGTCAGTCTTTTTATTTGGACCATTCTGTTGGGTGTGTAATGGCGTTTATTGACTGTAGTTTTGCTTTGCATTTCTCTCATGCATATATAAGTTGAACGTCTTTTAGTGTGCTTATTGGCAATTTGAATTTTCTCTTTTATGAAAAACTCGTTCAAGTCTTTTGTCCTATTTTAACCCAGGTTGTCTATCTTTTTCCTTTTGTTTGGTTAGAGTTCTCTTTATATTTTGATTATGAATCCTTTGTTGCATACATTTGTTGTGAATATCCTCTCCAAAATGTGGTATGCCTTTTGGTTATCATAATGGTGTCTATTGACAAAGGCTCTTAATTTTAATGAAGTTACTTTATCAAGTATTTTTTATGGCTGTACCTTTTGTGTCATATATAAAAAGTCTTTATTTATCCCAAGGTCCTATATTTTCTTCCAGGACTTTTATTACTTTACCTTTAGTAGTGTGATCACAGACCTTTACCTTTAGGTCTGTGATCCATTTTAAATTACTTTTTGTGTTTGCTTAGATATAGGGATCCAGCTCATTTTTATCCCGTACAGATATCCAGTGGATACAGCTCCATTTGTTGAAATGACCAGTCTTTCCCCACCGAATTGTAATAATGCCTTTTATTTATTTACTCATTTTTAGAAATTAGATGACTGTTTATGTGTGAGTTTATTCCTTAACTCTGTTCTGCTGGTCTATTTTTCTATCCATGTACCACTGTGTTCATTGTTGTCTCTTTATAGCGAAGCCTGGCATTGTTTTTATTCTTCCGAAGGATTGTCTTGACTTTTGAAAGATCTTTAAATTTCCATACACATTTAGAATTAGCATGCCAGTTTCCACAGAAATATCTACCGAAGATTATTTGGGATTGCATGGGGTCTATGGATAAATTTGGGAAGGATTGAAATCTAATAATACTGAGTCATTTCATTTATGAAATAGTATATCTCTCACTTACGACTTTTTCATTTCTCTCAGCAATCATTTATAGTTTTTAGTACAGAAGACTTGCATATCTTTTGTTACTTTATTCCTAGACATTCAGCGTTTTTATGCTATTGTAAATGATAGCTGTTACAAAAGTTTCACTTTCCAATTTGTTACTAGTATATAGAATGATTAATTTTCTATGTTAGCCTAGTATCCAACCACCTTGCTAAATTCACTAATTCTTCGTAGATTTTTTGGGATTTGTTTTGTACATAATCATGACTTGTATGTATAATAACAGCTTTACTTCTTCCTTTCCAATATTTATGACTTTCGTTTCCTACTGCATTAGATAGAACCTCTAAAACAATGTTGCATAAAAATGCTAATAGAAAACATCCTTCATGTTCAGCATTTTACCAGTAAGCAGAATGTTAAATAAAGTTTTTTCAGATTAAGAATATTTTTATGTATACATAATTTATGAAGTTTTTAAAATCATGGATATAAGTTAACTTTCAACAAATGATATTTCTGCATTGCCTGAGATCAACATGTGCTTTTTCTGTTAATTTTGTTAGTGCAATGCATTCTGCTGATTAATATTTAAATGATAAAGCGAAGTTTTATTCCTAAGAAAAAAATCCTACCTGGTTTTTTAAAAATATTATTATTTATTGCTAGATTAGATTCATAATTTTTAATGATATTTCTAACTTGCTAATACACAAAATTTTACTAGTATTTATGTCTCTATTTATGACATTGTACTATAATTTTCCCTTCTTAGATGTCTATGTCAAGTTTAATATCAGGGTTATTCTAACTAAAGGTAATGAAGTGAGTTGAGAAATGCCCCTTTCTCTTCAATTTTCTTAAAGAATTTGTGTAAGATTATCTTTTCTTTTATTTAAGTGTTCAGAAGAATTAAGCAATGACACTATTTGAGCCTGGAAGGTTTTTTGGTAGGAAAGTTTTGGGGGTTTTTTGTCCTTTTTTGAGACCGGCCGCACTGCGCTCAGCCAGTGAATGCACTGGCCATCCCTATGTAGGATCCGAACCCACGGCAGGAGCGCTGCTGTGCTCCCAGTGCCGCACTCTCCCGAGTGTGCCACAGGCTCGGCCTGGTAGGAAAGTTTTTATTGACAAATTCAACATAAATAAGGCTTTCCATTTTTAACTTTAACAGATGTCTTTCAAATTTTTTTCTTTTCATGTCGTATTGGTAAGTATTGTTTTTCAAAGAATTTATCTGTTTTTTCTGAGTTGACTCTTTTGGGGGTATTTTTTATAATATCTTCTTAACATCTTTTAAATTATATGTAGATTCTATAATGATGTTCCATTTTTATTCCTGTTATTAATAATTTATGTTTTCTCTCTCTCCCTCTCTTTTTTTTTTGGTCAATCTTGATAGTGATTTATCAATTTTATTAATCTTCTAAGAGAACAAATTTGAAGTCAAGTGCTTTTCTCCCCTTGTGCATCTAATTTGTATTTTATTGATTTCTGCTCATATATTTATTATTTACTTTTTCTACATTTGTTTATTTTGCTGTTTATCTAGGTTCTTGATTTGGAGCTTAGATAATCGATTTGCAAATTTTCCATCTTATGTAACATATGCATTTAAGCTATACCTTTTCCTCTAATCCCTGTTTTGCTTCATCCAGTGATTTTATGCATTATCTTTTCATTATTATTCAGTTAAAAATATTTTCTAATATTCTCATGATATATTTTTTGATCCAATGGTTATTTAGATGTGTTGCTTAATTTATAAGTAATTGGGGGTTATATGGTTATCTTTCTCTTATTAATTTCTAACTTAATCTCACTGCTGTTAGAGAACATACTCTGACTTTAATTCTTTGAAATGTGTTTAGACTTTTTTAATGGCCTAGCATAGGGCCTATATTGTAAAATGTGTCAATAAAGCTAAGTTGTTGAATTGTTTTTCAAATGTCTATGCCCTTACTAATTTTTGTTTTATTGCTCTATCATTTACTTAGGGAGATGATTTAAATTCTCTAGCTATGAATATGGGTTTGTCTATTTCTCTTTTTAATTCTATTAATATTTACTGTATATATTTTGAAACTTTGTTACTAGGTGCATTTGAATTTAAGATTTTTATATCTTCCTGTAGAATTGACCTTTATGTCATTATTAACTCTCCCTCTTTATCTCTAATTTTGCCATGATATCCAATTTGTAAGATATTAATATAACCAATCCAATTGCTTTTTTGATTAGTGTTTTCATGATATATCCATCTTTTAGCCTTTTGTTTCTTTTAAATAGCATAAAGACTGGCCATTTCAGTTGGTTAGAGTGTGGTGTTTTAACACCAAGGTCAAGTGTTTGGATGCTTGTACAGGCTATCCACCAAAAACAAAATGAATTTAAAAAACAAAAATAAATAAATAGCATAATGAAGACTTTTGTCTGGTATTTTGGGTTTTGTTTTAATTAGAGTGCTTACATGTAATGAAATAGAAATATATTGAGTTTTAATTTACTATCTTGCATATTTTTTATTTGTTTCATGTATTTGTTTTTTATTCTTCACTTCCTTCTTTTGGTTTTACATATTTTTATTGTTTTATTTTTCTCATATATTAACTATTTAGATATCCATTTTTGCATTATTATTCATGGTTATCCTAAAGGTTTTAATCCTTGACATGTAACTTTCTACCTTATGTTTGTATTTTTACTCCTTTCTGAAGAAAACAAGAATCTTAACAACAGTTTAATCCATTTCCCCTTCCTACCCTTATGTTACATGTATGTTCTTGAATATATTTAAGATAGTATTATTACTAATGTTTTTAAACAGTCATGATTTTTTATGTTTATCCACCTAATTATGATTTCTAGTGTTTTCATTCCTTCCTGCATTTGCATGCTTCCATCTTGTTTCATTTCTATTCAGCCTCAAGAACTTCCTTTCATATATCTCATAATGTTGAATTGCTGGCAACAAATTCTCTCAGCTTTTGTTTGTCTAAATATGTGTTTATTCCACTTTCAGTTTTGAAAGGTATTTTCACTGGGTATATATGTCTAGGTAAACATACTTTTATTTCAGCATTTTAAGGATATCATTCCATTGTTTCTAACTTCCATCATTTCTACTGAAAAGTCAGACATAAGTCTTATTGTTGAGTCAATGTAACTTTCTTCTCTAGCAAATATGGGAGTGAAGGAGAAAATATTCATGGAAAATAAAAGGCACTGTACTGCTTCATTATACCTGACATTATTTTTCTTCTTTAAAATATTTTATTTTGAATCTCTTGTTATTTCAAAGTTTATTTTATTAAGAGAGGCTTTTCTCCTATAGAAAAATACTTCAGAAAAAGTGCCTAGCATCTACAAATCTGTGACCATCAACACTTCCAAGGAGATGATGTGCTTCAGTGACTTCCCCGTACCTGATCATTTTCCCAATTACATGCACAACTCCAAACTCATGGACTACTTCCGGATGTATGCCAAACACTTTGGCCTCCTGAAATACATTCACTTTAAGGTAAAATATAAAGTAAATATTGCATAGTAACTGTGTGTGTATATATATGTGTGTGCATGTGTGCAGACGCTTTCACTTGTGCACACATGAAAGTTATACTTGGCATCTTCTGCTATGATGAGAAGAGATCATTAGTGAGCTTCTGCCCTAAAGAGTCATCACTTGTAATGAAGTGATATTTTGAAGATTTCACTTGAATGTGAGGTTGAAGAATTTTGCCCAACAGAACCTATTCTGATAATATTTTTGTGTGGCATGGCAAGTGTCCTCTCTTTCAGCCTTGAATTCAAAATGTTTAAGGACTTAAAATAATGGCAGTAGTAATTGAACCAAATCATATTGCCTGTAGAAAAAGAATCAGGGTCATATAAATAACACAGGGAAGACTTTTTCAGATCCATGTAGCTCCCACGATATATCTAGCACCACCACCCTTAATTCACACATATAAAATTCATCTCTATAGTCATGATGGAACATGAATACCTCTCTGAAACTCAAAAGCCAAGTCCAAAGAAACTGAACAGGCCTGTGCTAAAATATGAAAAACATGTGGAAGTCTTCCTGGAAGCAGAATATGGCTTCAGTCACTCTTTTATTTATTCACAGTTAAATCTCAACTATTTCTATTTCTATGGAATTAGATTTCTAATGAAATAGCAATAATATCTTGAAAATGCACCCACCACAAAGTCACTATGGGAGTACCCAGGAGTAGGAATTAAATGAGTGTGAACACCTCAGATGAGTCGATTTCTATGGAATTAGATTTCTAATGAAATAGCCATAATATCTTGAAAATGCACCCACCACGAAGTCACTATGGGAGTACCCAGGAGTAGGAATTAAATGAGTGTGAACACCTCAGATGAGTCGTATTATTTATACTTATGGGATTTGGAGGAGGAGGGATTAAACCTGAGGACTGTGATAGTGTATCATCTGTGTTTGTGTACTTGTTCTCAGACCAAAGTGCGAAGTGTGAGGAAGCATCCAGATTTTTCCTTCAATGGACAATGGGATGTTGTTGTGGAGACTGATGGGAAACAGGAGTCTTTGGTCTTTGATGGAGTCTTGGTCTGCAGTGGACATCACACAGACCCCTACTTACCACTTCAGTCCTTCCCAGGTATGTCACTAAGAATCTGTTTGGTAGAAAGTACTTTCCAAATAACTTACAGAGCAAAATGACAGACCACGAATTTTATTACTAGAGTTAATGAAATTTCTCCGGTAACACTCAATAACAAACAACATTTACGTTAACAGGACAATACGGTCCATTGACATACAAAAATAGGCAAAGACTACAACTTCTATTTTTTACTTACTATAGTTTTATATTGTTTCTAATAAATAACAAAAATTAGCCCATAAATAAGTGGTTTTAGTTTCACGTGCATTCACTTGATCTCACTCCTTTCTAGAGAATGTGAAATTAATAAAAATAAGAGACAAATAACAAGCAAAACAAGCAAAAAGCTGGCAAATCCACCAACTTAGAAATTTTAGAGTTTGGGAGAAGATCTTAAATAATATTTATTTATCATAAATTTTCATTGGCTAATAAAAACAGAGTAGAAGCTTATCGATCCTTTTGAATTCCTTGAGGTAAAATGAGGCCCATCGCAAAGGAGACTGTTACTTAAAACAAAAACTCCTCCACCCACACTAACTAAATCTTCTCCTTTTACTCTTGTTTTATTTGCTCTCCCTTTCATCAATTGCTATCAGGAGTCAATCAAGAAATATTTGATATCTCAGTGTCTTTCCATGATGCTTAACAAGCCATCATAAGAAACTCCTTGGAAATTGAGGTAAACTGAAAATAAAAGAGTCCTAGGTGGAGATCAAGGCACTTAAAGTTGGATTTTGGTTGTCCAACTGACCGGTTGAGTTATGTATGAAAAATGCCTAACCTTTCAGTGTCTACACACCAACATAATCACACGTAAAATAAAAGTACTTCATCCTCTGTTAAGATGCAATGTATTCTGGAAATCATTATATAATTACAATATAACATATAGATTATATTAATAACAATTATATATTTACCAGCTTCTTGGCTTCTTCACTGAGAGACATTCCCTATAGAGAATACATGGGTTATGTATATTTGGATGGGTTTCGGGGGACAGAGACATAAACATGTCCAGAATGGGACAATGGCAGAGAATGCCAGACACAGACTGGAGGCTGCTATGAAGCCCTCAGCAGAGCCAGGGATAGCAGAAGGGCATCCGGCACTTGGAAGGCAGACGAGATGTCAAATTGATGAAGAAAGGCTCTATATCTCCTCAGAAAAGAGTAAAACAAAAAAAGAACCAGCTTCCTGCTTCATCATTTTGCTTAAGACTTCACAGGGACAATACAATAATGAATACAACTAGATTATAATAACATTTTCATGAAACTTTCATTTTGAATAGGTCTAAGACAGATAGATCTACCATTTACTAAATACTTTATAAGACCACGAGTCTACATCCAGAATCCACAGGGACTAATACTGAGTTTACTCCCTCTTTTCCTGAACTTTGTAAAATATAAAATTATATTTTTAGGACTAATGGTAATATTCAACTTACTGATGCAGACTCAAAATCTTGCTCTTTCAGATTATTCAGAACATAACTTTCTTGTGTGTGTTAAGTGAGCACTGTGAAAAATATTCTTCATAATGAGAAATAATCTTTGTCCACCACAGGCATTGAGAAGTTTGAAGGCTGTTATTTCCATAGTCGGGAATACAAAAGTCCCGAGGACTTTTTAGGAAAGAGAATTATAGTGGTTGGCATTGGGAATTCTGGAGTGGATATTGCAGTGGAGCTAAGTCGTGTAGCAAAACAGGTTTGTTTGTTTTAAACAACTTCACGAATGGAAACAAAACTTTTAATAATAGAAGCCTATGCATTTATGGGTGCCTTTCAGAATGTAGATTTGGTCTGTGAGGGGCCAGAAAAGAAAATGAGATCTATGGGCTCCGGCCTCCAGATGATTAAATTCACAGAGAGCAGAGGATAAGTGCAAAACAAATCCCTCATATTCACAATGGAAAACACATGTGAACAAATTACTGTTAATTGAGCTAGTTGAGTAAAACATTAGCATAGGTAAAACAAAATGTTAGGTAATGAATCTGACTTCTCACTACCACAACAGCACGTGGTCCCTGAAAAAGACTTCAGATAGTAGTAAGCACAATAAATTGGGATTCTATCTGGGATCAGCAGATTTTGGTGGTAGAATTAAAGAACAGAAAAAACAGGAAAATAAATATATGATCCTCTTTAACTAGAAGTATTGTATAGAAGGAAATAATAAATTCTGTTTTAGGTATATTTCATTTCATACAAGAGCACGTTATCCAAGAACTTTATTTATGCTTAATAATTCAGTACTCTTTCTTCTCTTGAAAAATTAATAATACTTTGAGTTTAGAAGAAACTAAATTTTTGCATTCAGGATTGTTGACCACATTTAATAACATTTTAGTTAATGGAAGACAAAACCTACTAGGATGTTCAGATATCCTGATTATTTTTACTTATTTTTAATTATTTATCTTTATCTGTTGTCAATTGTCATCAGTTTTTAGGAGAAATTATTACTAAGCCACTTACTAAGTGTTTAATTATTTTTAAAAAGTTTAACAAGCACTTAAAGAGCATTCAATTCTTGGTCTCTAGCACCCATTTAATCTATTTTGTACTTCACAGACTTGACCAGTAATAATTGAAATTCAACATGATCACCTCAACATTGCAAAAGCACCAGTAATTGAATGAACAATTTAATATATTTTCTAATTGCTTCAGAATGCAGAAAAGTCTACAAATATATTATAGAAAGATTTGAAAAGTCATTCTGATTACATTCAGTTAAACAGGACACTAGTCCTGGACAATTTGATTCATTAAAGTTTTTAAAGTACATTTTTATTTTGATGCAAACAATATAGTAGAATTATATAGTAGTTAACATAATAATTCACTTCTAAATTCAAACCCTCACTTATATCAAGCACAACTATATCAATATCCAGGAATATTTTTTTAAAGTAATTCAAAACATATAGACCAGTAAATGAATTTTTCTGTTTTTCATTCAGAAATTTGGTACCATAGATGCAGCCTTTTTCTGGAAATCAGTAGACAGTTCTGGTAAGGCACAGCACAATAAACACTCCATAGTATTTTACTTCCAAATCCTTAGTAGCCAACGCTCTTAAAATTGGGTAATGGGAATGTATGAATGAAAATAATAGTATGTAAAATGTTCTCTCCACTGGTCTGCTCCATTCCTGTCTCCCTCAGGTATTCCTCAGTACTAGACGAGGATCATGGATTTTACACCGTGTTTGGGGAAATGGGTATCCCATGGATAGCTCCTTTTTCACTCGGTTCAATAGTTTTATCCAGAAAATATTAACTACAGCACAAATAAATAATCAACTAGAGAAGATACTGAATGCAAGATTCAATCACGCACACTATGGCCTGCAGCCTCAACACAGGTGAGAAACAAGAGGTCTTAATTTCTGTTCTTATGTGCATGTGTAAAAGGGAAGTTGCCTTAAAGACAATTCAACTTCTGGCAATTAACATTTATTTTGGTCAGTTAATTTCATACATGCATTAATATAAAGCACTTATAACACACATATAATATATATTATAGCACATAAGTGTGAGTTTGCTTCTGATGCCACTTACTCTGTCATTTATTCAGCAGTCATGTAATATTTAATTGCTATGTGCCAAACACAAAAATAAACAATACATTGCGCCTCCCTTCAACCAGGCTTCAAGTTTAGAGGACAAGGACATGAAAACAGTTCAGGTAGAAAATGTGATTGGTGACAGATGTTTGGGAGTAGGGGTACAGTGAGGTTCAAAGTGGGATTTAGTCACTTTAACTGAGCTTGGAGTAGAAATGTCAGGAAAGACCACATAGAAGAGGAGATTTCTAAGAGCCCCTTCCCCAGCGTGGGTTCCCCTATGACTCCAGGTCTATCCCATGGAGGGCTCTTGGTTCAGAAACCATCTTCAGCTTCTGATGAAAGAAAAAAGAGAGAAGTAGAAATCAGTACAAAGCTGAGTTAAGAAAAGAGAACAGGTAAACAGAATGAATAAATAACATTTCAAAGAGTAAAAGTATAAGCCAAAGTATCAATCTAAGGAATAATGGTCTAAGATGATAAAGCAGTAATTGTTTTTTTATATGAAAACCTAATCATCTTTAAAGGCAATTCTGAAAGCAAAATTCCTGAAATGTTTTATCAAATAAGATAAAAGAGTGTGGCATTTTTTGATTCATTCATTAAAAATATTCAATGAGCATCTTCTATGCTGTGGATACAGAACAAAACTGCATTCTACTTGAGAGAGATGGAGGATTAAAAAAATTACAGTATGTGATGAGAACTGTGAAGGAAATGAGCAGGATCATGTGATAAAGAGTAACTGGGGAAGGAGAAAGGAAGCTCATTTAATGGAATGATCTAGAAGACATTTCTGAGGGATGATACTTAAGCTAAGACTTAAAAGACAAGAAGGAACCACAATGAAAACAATTAGGAGAAAATTATTCAAATAGAAGAATCTGCAAGTACAAAATTCTTGAGCAAGGAAGGGGCTTGGTACAAATTGAGGAGCAGAAAGGAAACCAGTGTGATCAGGGCAAAGTCGGCGAAGGGAAAACCAATTAGGAGAAAATTATTCAAATAGAAGAATCTGCAAGTACAAAATTCTTGAGCAAGGAAGGGGCTTTGTACAAATTGAGGAGCAGAAAGGAAACCAGTGTGATCAGGGCAAAGTCGGCGAAGGGAAAACAGTATGAGAGCAGCATAGAGAGGCAGGAGCCAGATCACATATTTCTGGGCCATTGGGCAAAGTTTGGATTTTATTTCTTTCTTTTATGGTATGTATTTAAGGTGTATAATAATGTGCTTTGATATACATATACATAGTAAAATGGTTACTATAGTCAGACAAATTAACATATCCATCATTTCACATAGTTACTCATTTTGTGTGTGTGGCAAGAACACCTAAAATCTACTCTTTTAGCAAAAATCCCTAATATAATACAATTACTAACTATAGTCCTCACATCGTACATTAGATCTCTAAACTTGTTCATATACGTATCTGCAGCTTTGCATCCTTTGACCTATATCTCCCCATTTCCTCCCCCACCCCTCTACCCCTAGTAGCCATCATTTTATTCTCTATCTCTGTATTTTTTTTTTTTTTAGATTCCACATATAAATGAGATCGTGCAGTATTTTTCTTTCTGTGTCTGGTTTATTTCACTCAGCATAATGTCCTCCAGGTTCATCTATACTGTGGCAAATGGCAGGACCTCCTTGTCTTTTAATGCTGAATAATATTCCATTGTATGTGTGTGTGTGTATATATATAAATATATATGTATATATACACTGCAGTTTCTTTATCCATTTGTTCGACATTGTTTCCATGTATTGGCTATTGAGAGTAATGCTGCAATGAACATGGGAGTGCAGATGTCTTTACAAAGTGATGATTTCATTTCCTTTGGGTATATATCCAGAAGAGAGATTGCTGGGTCATATGGTAATTTTATTTTAATTTCTTTAAAAACCTCTGTATTGGGCTGGCCCGGTGGCGCACTGCTACAGTGCGCCTCTTGGGAGTGCTGCGGTGCTCCCGCTGAGGGTTCGGATCCCACATACAGACCGGTTCCCGCTCACTGGCTGAGCGAGGTGCGGGCACGACACCGAGGGTTGCGATCCCGTTGCCGG